AATTTCACATATAGTGGGTAGAGAGTCTATTTCCAATAAACCATCGACTCAAGGAAAACAAGCATAACAGTAATAAAAAAAAATACGGTACTGTGAATGAAAAAGAAGCAGTAACAACAGTTAGATAATAAGATGTCCGAAGCGAAAGAAACAATAAGTAATAATATAATTGTATTAACTCTTTTGAAATGCATAAATTGCAGGAAGTTTGGACACTATGCAGAATTTTCAAGAGGACTTCAAATTACAAGAGATTCACACCAGATTGGAAGCAGCCCGTTATTAAACAAAGTTTTGGTGATGCAAATTCTAAAGCATGCAGTCTTCAATCTGAAACAAGTGATAATCACTCAATTAATATCAACTTCAAGAAGATGGAATTTCCACATAAGAACAATAATGCAGCAACTGGTGAAAATTATCAAGTTGATCAAGGAAACACACATTACCAAAATAGCCAACCAATAATTACCATGCCACAATCTTCAATCACATCATCAAACTCAAGCTTTTGGAATACAAGTGCTGAAGAGCAGTATTTGTTTAGTGATGGAAACTGGGATGAGCTCAAATCCGTCGTTGATTTAGCTATTGATCCTCGTAGTCTTCTTGGATTTAGATAAATTGGACGAGGATAGAGTGCAGAAATTGGGGTTTGAACTGAGTCAGCGGTGAATTCAGAATTTAAAGTCAGCAGGCTTACTCTATGTTCTTAAGATAGTCCGAGCTAGATGCAGCGGGTTTGACATGGTTCTATTCTCTATTTATGTGCTATTTCCATGCACATGCATAGTTCGAGCTAGAAGCAACATGTTCTAAATGAGTTTGTTGGATGGACGATGGAGAAAGTACATCTAGATATGCGTGACGTATCACTTGTTATTGCGTGCTGTTACACGACTATGTTTAGTTGCGCTTGAAGTTAAAACAGAATGCAGATCAAGTAAGATATGCCCCAAAGAGAGAGCACCATTCTACCTATTTTTCGATCTTCATCCCTACTTCTCTAACTAGCTTTCTGCCTTTTTAGTTTATTAGGACTGAGATTTATCTTGTGAAGTACTAATTTTCTAGACACTGCTTTCATCTTGTTCAGAATTTCATAGAGTACTTTTTGTTTGGAATAAAATAAGATGGAGTAAATATTTTATAAGGAAAAATACATTGGCTTCTTTTGTTACCTTTTGCCATTACATATTTGATTGGAGGTTGAGTAGATATAGGTGCTCACAACGGCAATATGTAATTCAATTCATTATTTTCAATTTACTTCCCATTCTTAGGAAGTAAGGGCATCCCTGGTCTAACTGGTAAAGTTGTTGTCATGTGACCAGGAAGTCACGGGTTTAAGCCGTGGAAACAGTCTCTTCCAGAAATGCAGGGTAAGGCTGCGTACAATAGACCCTTGTGGTCCGGCCCTTCCCCGGACCCCACGCGCATAGTGGGAGTTTAGTGCACCGGGTTGCCCTTTGTTTATCTTCTTGGGAAGACATTTCTACTTAGAACATTTTTGTGATGCATAGGAAGAGGGAGGATTATATCTATTTCAGATTACAAATTCAATATTAAGTTTGATGAGAATCTTTTTCAAGGATATGTTTGAAGTTCATTTCTGAAGAGAAAAAAAAACTCTTTTAGCTAGCAATAAAGATTATACACCATAACTACAGCATAATATGCAAATATACACTATGAGAAATTTCCACAGTCAGCACAATATTACTGATATTTCTCCAAACCTCAAGAAAAAGGCTCTTCACTCTTTATGGTTAAAGAGCGGAAAGGAAAGAAGACAGATAATAATAATATGAACGCAGACTTATACCCGATGAGGATCTATAGACCGATGAGAGGCTGCATTTGCATAGCTTTCTTGACCCTATAATCCTGTAATTCTGCAATGGACTTCCTTTGACAGCATGAAAAGGCTTAGGTTGATGAGAGTTGTGTGATTGCTCCTGGTGAGTGTTCACAGGTGACGCGACTACAGGTACATATAAGCTGACCCTTCGGTCTCTGATGCTATCTCGGGAACATCAGTTATCCTTGACTCTGTCGGCTGAATATCGCTCAATCCTCCATCTACAATTGGCTGATGATTTGTGTGATCTACAACCAGATCAACCACACTCTCCTCAGACACAATAACAACAACAACATACCCGGTGTAATCCCACAAAGTGGGGTCTGAGGAGGTTAGGATGTACGCAGACCTTACCCCTACCTTTGTGAAGGTAGAGAGGCTGACACTCTCCTCAGACACGAGTGCTGGAAATGCTTTAGCATGCTTTGTCCGCATTCTTCTTTGACAAATCGACATACTTAGTTTGTGGTATATTACTAATGCTACTTGAGCAAGATTCATCTTAGTTTGTGGTATATTACTAATGCTACTTGAGCAAGATTCATCTTCTTTTCAAGTATTTGCTTGGTATCAACCTGCTGTCTACTAACAGGAACATCATTGTTCAATTAACTCTAACCTCTTAAAGCCAAATAAGAAGGAAAAGAAATGCAACATTATCAGCATATGTCTGAGAACAACTAAAGGTTGGCTTAGAAAACATTGCATTTGAAAAAAAAAAACGCCACTATCCTCCTGTCCATTCTTGTTGGATCAAACTCAAAGCAGATACAGCATCCGTCTCACACAAGACTACTCTACTGGCACTTTCCTCAGACTCTTCAAGATTTTTGGCTGATTTCTCAGACTTTGCTATTCCCCGGTTTGGCACAAAATTCTCCTTGGATGCTTCACCAGTTGATGCACCGTCCGTTTCACCAATCGAATTTTGAGGTCTTCGCTGGTATGTGACAACAATTTTTGGCTGTATTCGATCCTCTCATAATCGAACAAATTGAGATGGGACTGCATTCTTGGGCATAGAAGAAGAAGACGGCTTGAAGAGCTGATAATCTTCGATTGCATGCTTCAATTTCTTTCCTTATTTGATTTCTCTAAGACCTTTGTTAACTTTCACCTGTTGTTTGTGTAAATTTCTTATGAGAGTTTGACATAGCGTCATTTCTGCAAGAATTTCCCACCTCAGTACCTTAGTAAGTTATAAGCAGTCCAAAAGTAAATAGATTTCTATCCACCACCCAAAGAGGATGACTTTCAAACTAGCAAGGGCGCTAAACTATATTGCATGGACCCTCTTAAAATGCTGCCGCACCTATGTCGGATCCTCCCAAAATGCTATTTTTTGAGGATCCAACACGCACCCGATGATATTTTTGCAGAGTCCGAACAACATAGGTTCCAAACACCAGATAATCCAACTGAGTATTTTGATGGAAACAACATGAAACTTACCAAAATAGTTAACTTAGACCTATGTTACACGACTCTTTTACTGGTACATCACATCTGATATCAGGATGTGTAGGTATCCAGTTCAGCTACGTCTTATTCTTTTTCTAATTTTTAGTCTATTAGAAGGATCTGCTTGAAGTAAAGGCACACATATTTTACCCGTTCGTGATGAGTACATCAAGACAAATGAAGTTATGCATAGACTTAATCAGTGTACATTTCCAGAAGAAGAAAAACAACTTCCAACCACCAAGAAGTTTTCATATCACCTAAATTCAACAAAATGTCATGCTTCTTTTGTAATGAGTATATGTCTAGGGCCGGGTGACGAAAAGTTTATTCTAAATGGTCTGAATATGCAAAATCAAATGGAGTTGCAGCTTTAACAATAACTTGGTTGCTTTGAAATGAACAAAACGCCACAGTTTATGTAGAGTATCTTGTATTCCTAGTCCCACAGATGTAAACTTTACAAGATAAAAAATGATTATAAAAGAACTTTTCTGAAAAATATTTTAAGGTTCTAACTTGAAAACAATGATATGTTCCTGTATTACAATTTTCATCAAAATTTATGGTTTTTTGCTCCTCAATGGAATATCCTATCACTCATATTTTTCAACGTGCACCACCAGCAGGCACGTACCTCGACTATTCCATCAAATATCTGTTAACCTCCAACCAACTCACAGATACTGACTAACTCTGCCCGTCAAGGCTTACGCAGATAGCAAGAAATCACCTAGTAATTTTTGCCTCTGCTGGAATTTGAACTTGAGACCTATTCTCCTCTCACTTTATTGGCCACTATGCGACACCCTTGGATGCTAAAAATATTAAGATTTTTGCAGAGCCTCACTAACAAGATCGGTCGTTTAGTTAATTTAATAACTGATGTAAAGGGCAGCCCGGAGCTACCCGCTATGCGATCTGTTAACCTCCAACCAACCCACAGATACCGAGTAATTCTGCACGTCAAGGCTTAGGCAGATAGCAAGAAATCACCTAGTAATTTTTGCCTCTGCTGAAATTTGAACCTGAGACCTAATAATTCTCTTCACTTTATTGACCATTAGCCGACACCCTTGGATGCTAAAGTTATTAAGATTTTTGTACAGCCTCACTAACAAGATCCAGCGTTCAGTTAATTTCACAACTGATTAACTAACCTAATGTAAAGGGCAGTCCGGTGCACTAAACTCTCGCTATGCGCGGGTCCGGGGAAGGGCCGGACTACAAGGGTCTATTATATGCAGTCTTACCCTGCATTTCTGCAAGAGGCTGTTTCCACGTCTTACCCTGCATTTCTGCAAGAGGCTGTTTCCACGGCTCGAACCGGTGGTCACATGGCAGCAATTTTACCAGTTACGCCAAGGCTCCCCTCCGATTAACTAACCTAATGCAATTTAGCATAAATCACAGAGAAACATAGAACAATTTATCCTAAAATTTATCTATCCTCATTTCTTATATACTATATAGAAGAGCCCTAATGCAAGCAGGAGACCGTCGACATCCCTGCTTGCTGATCGAGGGCTATTTGGTCATTTTAGTCCAACTGTATATTCAATTGTCTATTCTGCCCCTTATGAGTATCACTGAATTCCGATTAGAATATGGATTATAAGGTCAATTTAACCTATCCCACCTAGCAGTAACCGCTACAGATGTTGACTTCAGCTATTTTGCATCATATTTCAAGCGTTAGTCACCAGATTTCATCTTACTTTACTCTGTTCTATCGGCTTTCCCTACTGCGTTTCTTCTGCAATTGTAGTTTTCTCCCTCTATCGTCTTTCCCTGCTGTACTTCTTCTCAAACAGTTCTCGATTTCTCTCCGGGATTTTCTTCTGTGAATAATATTTCTGGTGAGTCTTTCTGTAATATCGCACTGCCCTTTTTCTGTTTGCTTTGCTTCGTGTTTAGTCGGTTTTTACTGAGCATATATCTGTATAGTAGAAATTGTTTGTGTTGGTTCTTGAATAGACCACTGAAGGGTCTTTCTTTTGTATGTAATTGTCTTCCTTTTCCATCTACGATGCGTTGGGAAAAATACAAGAAAAATATTATCAGGAAATGATGAAACAGGAAAACAAAAAAGAGATGAAAGTTTGACTAAATTAAATAAAAGTAATAATTTCAGAAAGTGGGCAAGAAAAATATGATAAATATGGTGAATCGGAAAGGAAAAAAGACGGTGAAAGACATCAAATATGAAAGTTTTTACTGGTCATTAATTATATTAGCATGCGACAGGAACGTTTCTTAAGTTTATCTTTTTCAAATGCATCATTAAATACTTTAATGCAGAGAGACTATTCACATACAATAAGATGAATTTAGTCCATATGAAAATGCAACTCTTCAAATGCTCTTTATTTTGAAAATATCAAAGAGAGGTCAGTTTAATGTATGTAGGGATTTATAACGAAGTAATTTACTTTTAGATATAAGGTAGTCAAGCTACTCAAAAGTTTATATAACAGCTACAGTAGTATTCCTTTGCTGCTTTATTCCAGGTATATGACATGTCCTTATCTTGTAAAATTTTGGAATGCAAACGCAATTCCTAATTAATAGGCACAAAAAAGAAAGTAGAAGTTAGTCACAATGAAACTAAAATTGGTAAGAATTTTGATACATATAGATATAATCAAGGATGTTGCTTTTAAAAGACAGTAAACCCTCTTCCTTTGTTTGGAATTGGGTCCGGTTGGGTTACAATATAAATGGAGTTCCTTGTGGTTCTTCAAGAAGTGAAATCTAGACTCGTGATTTACGGCACTTGATGCAATAGTAGAAAAAACATGTTTATCTGCAAAGTAGGAAGTGGCAATGAAGTTTTGCCTTTTCTTGAGAGCTTGAGAGTAAAGGCTCTGGGGACTACTTAAGTGTGTGTAAGAGAAAAGAAGTTTAAAACAATTGGCTTTGTGACATGCTCTTACCAGATACTTGATGCTTTTTGCATTTCCTGTTAAGAAATATATTTCTCTTTCTGAGAGTGGAGGAAGTTTCATCTTCCATTCTTGGACGTCTATTTATTAGTTGCATAGATTATCTTAACCTTGGATTGCTTGCAAGGCAGTTGATTATGCATTCAAAATAGTTCCTCTGAGGAGTCATGTTTTTACATGCTAGCTTGATGTTTTACTGTACGTTCTAATTTTCAAATTCACAATTGAAATTGTATTAATTTCTCGCAGTCTGTTGCATTCATGAAGTTAGTATTTAGAAATTAATAGTTTTTTCCTCAATAGGTGGAATTGTCATTTCTTCTTTTGACTCATATTGCTATGCTCTGTTTGTTGGATCCAGTAAGAAATAAGTAATCATATCTCTCTATTGTGTCTATTATGTTGCAATATTTGTAATATCTTTTCTCTACTTAGTTACATAATAAGTATGCCAACATAGAAAAAATTCTGTATATTCCAAATAAGCTGGAATTTCCTTGATATGATAATCATTTTTTTTAAAAGAAAAACAAATACCTTGCAAAATTTCAGCTTTTCGAAAACTAATTGGCAAAATAATATGAAATAGAATTTAAATGGGCAAGATTAGTGGTTTCTGGAGACTACTGAATACGAAATAAGGATCATGAAGTTTCATAACAATAGAATGAATCAAAGTAAGTCTTGATTTTGTTTTCTTAACCTTGACTATCAATGCATGGAGGTAGTATGATAACATTGTCCAGGGTTTCTTCTGAAAGATTAGTTACCTAGCCGGAGGTAGTTTTATTTAAATTGTTGAAATTGCAGATGTCGACAGACAATAAAACCAAAGCATCAACTAGCTGCCCACCAAAAAAGAAGTGCCGATACTCAACAGAAACAATGTCTAAAATCAAGCTTAGGAGACGTGACCTGTATAAACAGTTACCAGTTGATAAAAAAGAGTCGCTTCTATTACAGCGACGATTAAAAGAGCTTGAATCAAAAAAACAGCACGTACTGATGGATTACACTGAAGAAGAGTCATTGTTCCAAGTTGGGGCTAACCTGCGTAGGCAAAGAACTCTCACGATAAACGAACCATCTTCTGTTGGTAACAAAGGTACGGAATGAAAAGAAGATATAGTTCTTACATAAAAATACGTGTCGCATTGATGGTAGTGTTTACATTAAATTTTCTAATGGTAAACATGTTTTGCTTCCTATATTAGTTGATATATCTGCATTTGACGGGGCAGCAATTGATTCCAACAAAGAAAAGAATGTTACTGGCTATTTGTCTGTGTTTGAACTTGGTAAGTAACAGAAAGTATATTGTTTCACTTTATATTTATTGTATTTTAATATATTAATTACAATTTTTTGTACATTAGGTTCGACATCTGGTGTACCTTACGAGGGACACGATGCAGAGCTGTAGGCTGTTAAAAATAAAGGTTTTCCTCAATTTTTATCTTGTAAAGACATTCATTTCTACTCTTTTCACAGGAATAATATTATATGTTATTTATCTTAAATGTGTCTATAAGTTAAAATGCATAAATACTTTGTGCTTTTTCCTGATCAGTTTTGTACCTACTCAGGCTTCATTATACGCTTTTAAACATCTTGACAATTTTGTTTGTCAGCTGCCAACGTTGAAGCTCATGTGCCTAAATTGAGGGGCAATTTGAAAAGAGGGAAGAGTATATGTGATGCTCCTACCATTCGTGAAACAGGTAAACTTAGCCTTTATATTGTACTTTGTTGGCAATGACATATTAAACCATGTGTGTCTACGCATACCTCGTTACAATAATGTCTATCATAATGATATTTTTACGTATTCAGCTAATAACCGGACCAGAAAGGTATGCATGGCTACTAAAGAGCAACAATGTGACTATGTTGCTCTAAAAAAGGTTCCGAACTGCCAGTACTGTGGTGCCAAAAAATTTGAGTATGAACCTCCAGGATTTTGTTGTAGCAACGGTTCGGTTAAGTTAACTAACATCACATGAAATGCCTGCTGAACTATTGAATCTCTATTTAGCCAATACTGAAGAATCTGAGCACTTCCGTACTTACCTTAGAATGTACAATAACATGTTTGCGTTTACTTCACTTGGAGTAAACTATGACAAGGTGCTAGCGAAAAGAAACCATGGTATTTACACATTTAGAGTACAAGGACAAATGTATCATTTCATAAATGATTTAATTCCATCAAATCGACAACCAATAAATTTACAACTGTATTTTTATGATGATAATACTAAAATGTTGAATCGAATGACTTATTCAGGTATACTTAGACAATCAGTTGTTGAGAAGTTAATGGATATACTGAAGATAAATCCCTACTGTATTTTCTTGAAATCTCTAATACATATTTCAGAATTATCAAACTTTTATATTGCATTGAGGAGTGATTCTGGCTTAGATCAACGAATATATAACCTACCAACTGTGTCAGACGTAGCGGCATTATGGCTAGAACAAGAAACAAATTATAATACTTCTGGACCCCATATTCGAATTTACACTCAAAGTAACAAGAGTCAGCTGGTAAATTACTATTACGGTTGCTATGACCCTTTGCAGTATCCGCTTTTACTACCTTACGGTCAAAACGGATGGCATTCTGGTATTCAAAAGGTTGCACAACCTAGGAATAAACTGAGAAAAAAGAGAGCTTACTACGAAAAAGAACAACTTCCAACTTTATCTAATATGTGTTCAATTGATGGGTTACTTGATATGGAAGCTGAAGTTCTGAAAAAGGGAAAACGAAAAAGGGATACTGTTTCTTGTCGTGAATATTATTGTTACAAACTTCAGATGAGAGATAATGAAGAGAACGGAGTTTTACATTCTGGCAGATTGTTTCAACAATACTCAGTTGATGAATTTATAAAAGTAGAAACTCAGAGGTTAGATTTTGCCTCATTTAACCAAGATTTATTTCGGATTGATGTACTACAAGGAATTCTTGATATCCTACGACTTGGTGAAAGAGAAGCTTCTAAGATAGGAAAAAAGAACTTTCTACCGACAAGTTTTACAGGTGGACCGAGAGATATGTGTCAGCGTTATATGGATGCTATTGCGTTAGTGCAACACTTTGGAAAGCCGGATATATTTCTGACCATGACATGCAATCCTGCTTGGCCAGAAATAAAAGAGCATTTGCTTGCAACAGACGAAACTCAAAATAGGCCCGACTTAGTTAGTCGAGTATTTAGAGCGAAGGTAGAAGAGATGAAAACAGATATTTTAAAAAGAAACATATTTGGAAAATTTGCAGCTTTTATGTACACTATAGAATTTAAAAAACGAGGTCTTCCACATGCTCATTTTCTTATTATACTTACTGATGACTATAAATTATTGACACCTGAAGCTTATGACAAGTTTGTCTCTGCTGAGCTACCTGATCTTGATGCAAACTCTTGCTTACATAAACTTGTTATTAAACATATGATGCATGGGCCTTGTGGTTATTTGAATCCTACAAATTCTTGTATGAACAAAAAAAAAGAATGCAAATTTAAGTATCCAAAGAGTTTCGCCGACGATACGAGAAAAGGAAAGGAATCATACCCAATTTATAGAAGGCGAAACACTGGCAAATCTGTGAAAGTAAGGGAGCAATATCTTGACAACTCCTGGGTTGTTCCTTACAATCCTTATCTGTTGTGCAAATATAATTGTCATCTAAATGTCGAAGTTTGCTCAGATATTAAAGTTGTGAAATATATATACAAATATATCTGTAAAGGACATGATAAAATTTCATTTGGTCTATGTGAAGATAACACAAATATAGAAATAGATGAGATAAAAGAATATCAATCTGCTAGATGGGTATCGCCGCCCGAAGCTATGTGGCGCCTATTTGCCTTTCCTATCAGTGAAATGACTCCAAGTGTTTATCACCTCCAACTACATCTTGATGGACTGCAATTTGTTTCTTTTAAAAAAACTGACACAATAGATAGTATTATGAAAAATCCTATGATTAAGAAGACGATGTTGACAGAATTCTTCTTGATGAATGAAACAAATAAAGATGCTAAATATATAAGAAAATATAAAATGGCATTAAAACATTACTGAGAATTATGCCAACCCAGAAACTACGTATGACCGTGGCAACAGAATTTCAGCTCATGAAAAATAAGATTACGATATTGAATGTGTATGAACTTTTACTGAAGGTTTGGACATTTTTCTCATCTGGATAGAGTTTAAAACTTGACAGATTACTTTGTTGACTTCTATGTACATTGACTAAAAGGATGCCCGTTTGCTTAGATAGTTGATCATTTCCCTGCATATTTCTATACAACTATTCTTCATATGTTCTTTTTATCCGGAAACCATCTTATTTTCTTGTGCATTCATTTGGACCGGACATGTAGTTTGGAGAAAATATTGACAATCTGCTCTTTGAGACACATCTTCGATGCTAACTCAAGTGCCAATGGAGAAGTACAGAGTATGTTGTTTAAACAATTCAAAGTTGTACAATGCCTTAGATCTTTAGTTGTGCTCTCCAAGAAAACGTAGTTTTCCTGACAAAGGAAAACAATTTACCCAAAATCAGGTTATTTAAAATTTGTGATGCTCAAGCGAGCAAAAATGACAGTCATTCGTAGTCTTACTTGACAACAACAACAATAACATATCCAATTAAATCCCACAAGTGGGGTCTGGGGAGGATAGAGTATACGCAGATCTTACGCCTACCTTATGGAGATAGAGAAAGTGTTTCCGATAGGTCCTTGGCTCAAGGAAAGCGATTTTCAAAATGGGTTTTAGAAAAAAAAAACAATACGGTAGTAACAGTATAGTCTTAGTTGATGTAATAGTTGTTCTAAGTTGACATGTTTCATATTTTATATTGATGTAATAGTTGTTCTAAGATCTTCTCAATGCTGCAAGGAGCTAGAAGAGACTCATGACTACTTGGTAATTTATCTTTTTTGGCATTTCATAGATACTGGCGTAGTATGAAAAGAAAACTAATGTCAATACTTCAATTTGTCTAATGTGCATGTGCCTGTTAATTTTTGAAGATCTATTTAGTTTTTATAAGAGACTCAAGTTTGTAAGAAAGTGGTTATAAATATAATATTTTTGGTATTAACTGGGTGATGCTTGAAACTGTTGAGTTGATCCATTGCCTTCATATGGGAGAGGAAGAGAGCGGCCTGGTGGAAGGTATATGAGCTTACTCCATGGAGACGGGCTCCATGATATGATTATCACTGGTAAATATCATTTATCATAATCTTTTACATTTTCCTCAATACCTTTTTGGGTACAATTTGTGGCAAGTAAGAACCACCTTAACTTAAACTGCAAGGCCTAATATAATGTCGTCTGACTGAAGTATTTAAACTGATTTCTCAGGTGAGAATGATAGTATTGATGGCCACGGTGATGTTTGGTGGAAATATAGATGCATCTATGTTATAAAGAGAGGAAACATAACAATGACACAAGCTGGAAATAAGTCTTATACAAAGAGGCAAAGTACAGTAGTAGGCTGGGTTCTGTTATGGAGTTTTGATGACTGTTTGATGGATGTAAATGTATTTGTTTAGTGATGATTAATTAATCTTTTTATTTCCACCAAAAAAAGTCTATGTTGTCTGTATATGCTTCTTAGTGTTAGTTGATGACAAGGTACTCTCTCATGCATCAGTTGTGCTTATAAAAAGTGAGACCTCTCCCATGAATTAGTGATAATTTTATTTTTCCAGTTCATCAATTCTCATATGCTAGCAGCCTGAGTATGGGTTTATTGGCTGCCCATTGTCTTTGGAAAAATCAGGAATTAGAACTTCCTGCACATACAATCCCACTAAATTACAGTACTTGTGTTTTATGAAAGATTTGCACAGTAATAAACCAGACACATCCGCAACTATTACATTACATGAGATTAAAGATTATCATAACAACGTGTACACAAATACCACTGGCAAATTTTTAGTAATAAAACATCTCAGTATATACAATTTTTCCTTGTGCTTGAGTTTTGATATTCATATAATATTTGCCAAAATAAAACACAGTATAACCCGGGCCTAGTTCTATTTTTCTACTTATATAGAAGAGCGCACAAGCTGCTCTCTGTCGACATTGCCGACGGAGGGCAATTTCGTATTTGCAGTGCCCTATCTTAGGTAAAATTCCTGTTGTGTCGCTACACTAACTGATTTGTGTTGTTTAGGAAAGACTACTTAGGTAATTTCGCAATCCACTGTCACCGCTTAATTTTGCTCTGCTTTATCATAATACCATAATTTTGCGCTGCTTCACCATCTTGCTTTCTGTAAAATTCGCCCATCTTCTCCTTCTTACTCGCTTAACCCTTGTGATTTTTACGGTGTTTTTTGCTTTCATAAATTGAATCCCAATTTCTAGAATATAAAATAATATTTTTGACTGAAAATTGAGGTTTTTGCTGGATTTTTCACAGTTTCACATTTGCTCCACCAAGATAATCATATGGCTGAAAGGTTAGTTTTACTATTCTATTTCTCCTCCTTCATATGGGTGACTGTGATTATTTTGTTTCAGGGTTCTTCTTGGTTTGTTGTTCAAATTTTTGTTGTTTGTGAAATTCAAAGAACAGCTTGAAAAGAAACTGGGGTTTCCGCCAATTATCCGACAATTTTCTATCTTTGTTTGCATTTGAAGGTTTTGTCATTTTTAAATTGGGGATTTCAGAATACATGAGCCTCTGACTTTCTTATATTTGGGCCACAGTTCTAAGTTTCATCTTGTTCGTCCTGTTTCTTTCTCTGCTTCATCTTCAGATTTCGTTTTATCTCAAGTTTATCGATTTCGACATCAACAATTAATCGAAGGTCTTTGTGTAAGAAACCTGGGTCAGTGACTTGAACGGTATTTCTTACTCTTACCACTCTGCTTTGTTCATCTGTTACTTCGGGTTTAAAACCAATTGTTTGCTAGATCTCAAATTTTTTCTTTTGGTCACCTTTGTTTTCAGTTGGCCTGCTATGTGTTTGTGAAATTGCCAACTCCAATTACTTACCCATCCCAAGGTAAATATTTTGTAGTTTGATTTAGTCCACTGAGTATATTTGGGGACGATAATCATGAGTTTTATGGATAACTTAAGAAAAGTGTTAGGTATTACTGCGGTTATTGGGTGTTAATAGTGTTTTGCTATGAATGGCTCAATTGAAGGTATTGGTTAGTCATAAATATTATTATTTGATCATGGCATTAAAAGTAAAAGAACTTGTGAATGAATTATGGAGGAAAAAATAATTGACGAATCAGAATCCGACCTCAAAGTAGATAGAAGAATTCTTTCGTCATATGGTTTTGCTGCATATGCTAGACATTAGATCCTTGATGTAGATTATTGGGGAAAAAAGCCAATGAGGCAATATCAATGTCAAAGAGAAATTGACCGGAACCATTGCAAATTTGAAATAAGAAACTCTTCCCTATATTTTCAAGGTTACATATTTAAATTTGTTCAAGATTTGCAAGCAGGCCGATAATTTTCTCATAACATATCCATGTTAATAAAGATTTAAACTCCATAACTCAAGTATTGACATATAGAATTATTCAATCTCAATTATTCTATGAATCTGCGATTTGCTTTAGCTATGAGGTGCCAGTTTCTCTTAACACTACACTGGTTACCCACTTAAATATTTTTGATCAGTTTGAACTTAAAACGAATTTGATATTCTTTTGTAGCACGTTCACCGAAGAAAAATTGGAAGAATTGAAATTGATGTTCAATTCGCTAGCTGCACAATATCTCCTTCTGTTTTTAAGATATTTTTTGTCAAATTTTTAGCTTTTTCCCAATGAAATCATAAATTGGATATTTATAAATATAGGGTGATATCAGAATTGAGGGGCGTTGGGTGATAGAATGTTCCATTTGGTCGCCCATAACGTAAGGATCAAAAACTTACATTTGAAGACCTTGTGTCTCTTCCATTTTAAGCTGCTGCATTTACCAGCGTTGTTCTCTGTCAACTTATTTGGCAATTAATTGGGTCTTATCAAAAGGAAGCTATGACAAATAATTAGTTATGCTTCATTTGCAGAAATATATGTGCTTTACCTCTTCATCTTATATCTTGTGGAATGGTGATAAAAAATACCGGGAACTAAGTTTTGTAGGAGTGTTACTCAAGATTTTTTGGGCTTTGGCATATTTATCTGATATTTAATTTCTTTTGCTATTTTTGTATCGGTCTAATTTTTTAATTCAATTTTGTCTTCCTAAAAGACCAAGTTGGCAGTTAAAAACACGTAGATTGAAAACATAAAAAAAGGAACAACTTGATAGTTAAAAACACATGGACCAAAACGAGAAAAAAGAGAATAACACATCCACTATGTTAGAAGTTCAACTTGTGGCTATCAGATATTATGGGATTGTCCAAGAATGATGTTGTGATGGGTGAGGTAAAATCAAAATAAAATTTTGGACAGAATCCCATAATATACTGTATTGAATCAACTGAAAAATATATCTCTTCAACGCGGATAATCAAATAATATATTTGACTTAGTTATGAACTTACAAGATAGTCTATCCCATTTAAAAAGATAATGAAACTAAAAAAAAAAATCAGAACACCTTGGTTCATGCTACGTTCCCTGCTTTACAGATAACTTTGTACTTTTTTATTTTTTTTATTTGGTAATGTGCGTTACAATAAATTTTCACTCTTTAGTGATGATCATTATCTGCTGAATCTTACTCGGTTTCTTATTAATGTATTATTGTGTGTATAACTTTGATAGCGACTGATTCTTCTGAGTATTGAGGTTATTTTAATTTGGAAGGATCTATCTTACGAGATCATGGTTATCTACTAAGAATATGTTGCATCTTTGACTTTATTTTATATTGTTGCTAATAAATAAAAAAAATCAACCCAAGTAATGTAGAATTAACAATCAAGTTTGTCTCGCTTGAACTTTCAAACCTATTGTAACTGCAATTTACGATTCAATCTGGAAAAGAAGAAAACATAACGTTAAAGTGAAAAATTATGATTAAGATACTTCAATATTGTTTTCTCCTTCTACTCCAAGAGAGAAGATGATGCTATTGTTAGAACAGATAATACATTTGACTAAAACATAGAGTTTGTCTTTCTCGTGATAGTAAAATGAGCAAAATTGTACATAAGCAGTAACTTAATGAGAATATGAGATGATCAGAATAATAGTTTAGTTTATGTCGTTATAAACCTGTTGTATACTCTTTTTGTGGTATCATATTGAGCTGTGAGAAAAAATGGAAGCAGTACAATGATTAGATCCGCCTTCTTATTGAATCTTATAGCGTTAATCATTTTTTTCTTAACTAAGAGAATTACCTGCGCCTGGCTCCCTAGATTCTCCTGATCAAAATTTGAAAATGTTCCTTGTGGAGAAAAGTGATAATAGTAGTCAATGCGAAGAGAAACTGTCCTTATTTGTATTTATGTCTGTTGTCCCAAAATTATGACAGAGAAATATCTATGTTAGGAATTCAGTCTATAAAATATGTGTTTACTTAGATGTTTAACTTAGAAGTTAGATAAGGTACGACTTAATTAAAATGGAATCTCACTTTTTACAGGAGTAAATTTTACTGATAGAAGGGTAACGCTGGTTCCTAACTCCTAACTTCTGAACACACTTATCTGACTTATAATCTGCTTATCCCCGAATACATATGTTGCACCTATGATACTGCTATTAGCTGTTGTATCCCAAAGTTTCGCCATATTGATGTGAATTACAATATCTACTTTGCAGAACAAGAGTTTCTACAGGAGAGTGGATATCTATTGGAATTAGATTTGATACATTATACCTTTTTCAGATGTTCTCCAGATGAATGGTTAAGTCTGTTGGCATTGTAAAGTGAATTATAAAATGTAAATAATGAATTAAATATGTTGGAATTTTTTTCTCTATTGTACAAAGGTCGCCCCTAATATTATTGTTCAGCCATAGGAATATCTATATCCATCGTGGTATTAGCACAATCTTACTGCTTGAGCGGGTAAAAAACACGCCCGGGCCAATCCCATCTAGTAGTGTATATGTGTGTCTAAACATAAATCATCAATTTACTGTTCCAAAAATTAATAAGTAAAAGACGATTATATGGAATCAAGAATCAGTGGAGAAGGATGAAGAGGCAGAGGTTACGTTCACATCGTTTGTGAAGGGGAGCGAAATGAAGCAAACAATTGGGGGTAATTTGGTTAAAAACAAGTTGTAATACAAGATTCTAATATAGGTATTAAGCAAAAAAACTGAAATATTTATCGAAATAATCCAGAGAATAGAGTGCATGCTCAAATAACGAGTAGTCGTTGCTTGAGCATACTTGCGATCTCGTAGTTAGGGTCACATTGGATCTTTGAAAACACCAAATTGACTGAATCCGTGTGGGGCTGGGCATATATAAGGTAAAACGATAACCCGAATCGTTAATTATTTATTGGTTTATCAGTATTGGGCTATTGGGTTGATGGTTAGGTAACGGGTTAAATTTTTATTTTTTTAGGATTAGTTACTTCCTATAGTAAAGGTTGATACCTTATTTATTTTAAATAAATACCCCTTTAAAAAATTATATTCCATAACTATCTTTTGATTTTTATAGCCAAATATCTATTTATGGTTACTTCATACCATTAAGCCATAAATTACTCTTTGTATTATTTTTCTCTCTCATTCTTTCAGATTTTTGCC